ACGGGGGTACTGTTGAAATCCCGACAAGGCAAGATCACAATAGTTGTCATTGGTGTGACCATCCTCATTATTGTAGCAGCTGTTATTGCTGCCATTGTTATAACAATGGTCCTTGGTAAGATTGTATAACATAACCAATTATATATATAAGATTCAGTTTTACTTATTCTAGTAATAGAGAATTTTGCAATCAGTTGGGAAATCCCTGTGCACAATAATGAGCTCTTCCAGCATTCAAATTATAGGTAGCCATACACAGGCCAATCCTCACCAAATCAATAAGTTTAAAGTGAAATTAAAATAAAAAGATTTTTAAGATATTTCAAATGCTGATTAAGTCGCTTACAATGGATGCTGCTCCTTGATGTTTAAAAGTTTTAGTTTCCTGCAGAATCAGCTGGTCCCCTGAGCAATGGTTCTGACATCCTGTTTTAGGATGGCTCTTTTCCCATGCAAGGTCCTATGGAGCCACCCATGTGTGTGCTAGTAAGCTCCACAAACAGACAGGCACAGCAAAGCAAGTCACCCTCCTCCTTCCTGCTCCACCCTCCTCCAAGATAGTAAACAGACAGCTGCTGGAGACTGTACTGTCCCTTGTGATCTTGTACTGGACAGGAAGTTCAAGGAAATGGAGCTGAGACAGTTGGAGCCAGCTGTTTGGAATCATGATGACTAAGTGCTCGGCAAAAATCTAAAGAAACACTTTGCTGGACAATGTATATTTGTTTGATCTGGATTCATTATTGAAAAAAGTTTGAGAGTTTAAGACTACTTTAAAGCTTAAATCTGCTGCGTTGCTAAGAAAAACAAGTATAGCCCCCCTCAAAACTGTGTAGCACATTAGCTGAAAATATTGCCACGTGGTTGGATGTGGACAGGAGGATTTGCCATGTTGTTGATTGACATCTCTTCCTAAGCTGCCGATTTTGGCCAGAAGCCAATTCTGTGTAGCAAAACATCTAAAAAATTGAGACAGAAGTTTAGGTCTTAACATTTAACAGACTCATGAAGGTAAAGTTCATTTTTACACTGAGATTTTAGAGCTGCTATCTAGGGATTGCTAGAGAGCTGTGACATAGATAGGCAGCAAAAAAGAGTTTACAATGGCCTCTATGCACAGGTAATGTTAAACGTATTAGAAAGAGTAATGGCAAAAGTGATAATGATGATAAAAGCTGACTAGTTGAAGTGTAAGTCTGTGTTTGTCCATGTGACATAGCTGGATGTTATGCAGAAATGTTATAGGACAAATCAATTAATTTGCACTGTAGTGGGTATGCACGTGTAGGTTATAAAATGATCCCGACAATCATCCAAACCCTGGTGTATGGATTCCTTTAAAAGGAATTAGTGGGTTTGCACATGTAGGGTATAAAATGATCCAGACAATCATCCAAGCCCTGCTGGTGTATCTATTCCTTTAAAAGGAATTAGTGGGTATGCATATGCAGGGTATAAAATGATCCCGACAATCATCAAATCCCTTGTGTATCGATTCCTTTAAAAGGAATTACATGACATTGGTTTAGGAGTATAGAAAATGTTTTATACATAGGTGCAAAGTCTCAATATCACATGGTCTTCATGGTTCTCTTCCCAAACTCTCAGAAAATACAGAGTTGCAGCGATAAACTCTTATACTGGCCACCTGGCACAACATTCCTGTTTGATGAGCCATATTTCAGACACTAGGTGGCCCAGGCACATGTGTAAGAACAGGACTTCAAGTCTGAAGATTAAAGCATCTGTGTAAAAACAGAATCCCATGTCTGGAGATAAAGGCATCTGTGAATAAGCTGCTGCAAAGCAAGGAGGGCCCTTTGTTTCCCTGCCTGTTACACCTGTTACACCACACAGAAAATACCAAACTTATTTTGTAACACATTAACATTTGCCTATACACTCAAATACTGGGCTGCTAAACATAATTTTGGCTTAAATTCAGGTGGCCTAATTTTAATAAATGTGGCTATAATGGCTACATTTATGTAATCCATGATCAATACTCCTGCAGAAATGCGCAGTGGGAATTCTATGTTTCTACATGAAGAGATCAGCTTATTTTTAAATTGGCAGTTCCCTCAAATTCAATAATAGAGACACATTTGTAAGGTTATATTTTTGAGTTGTAATTGTAGGATATATTTAGAAATTGAACCAGTCCCACTATGTTTCTGTTTGGACAAGAGTTCTAATTGTTTGGACAAAAGTTCTTGTTTAATTATTGCTGTTTCCTTTTTCAAGGTAACAAAAATACAGATTCTGTTTCTCGTTACTATGAAGGATCATTTAGGATAATGAACTTAAACTACAAGCCTTCTTATGGAGCAAAAAATAGTGCTGACTTTAAAGGACTGTCAGCTCAAATTGAAGAATTTGTAAGTATAAATTAGTTAATTCTTAAAAACTCATTATTGACATGTGTTTGTAACTCCACCATTTGGCCAATATTGTGAAAGAGAGCTGTGAAAAAATTTAATTTTAGATATTTATTGCATATGTCCCTTTAAGTATGATATCAAGCACCTTTCAGCCCGATGAATAGTATTTATTTTTCTGCTTTTACACACACAAGCTGTTATCAGTTATCTAAAACTATTTTTGAATGAATGCATATGCATATACTTTATTGGGCTAATTAAAAACTGGTGCAAAGAAAACTGGAGCAAAAATGGAGGAGTCACTCCAACCAAAATTAGATTTGTATGAATAAATGTTGCATTTAAAGTTGGTTGCATATGAGTTTCTGTTACAGCTTATATAC